TTTAACTTCAGAGCTGAAACCAGAGCAGCACAACCTTCACCTGTAATACTGCAGCATACTAGTCTGTGGAGAGATGCAAAAATTCCTACATTGACACATAAACATGTACACATGCATATATTCATTGTGCTCCACAGTCAATGAAGAAAGTAAGTTCAGAATTTTACAGGTCTATTTCATTATTTGTCACTTTTGAATCATGTAAACACAGAAAGCAGATTTAAGGTGACTGGAAAACAACAGCAGTCATCGATGTTTTATTAAAATTGTGCTCCAGGACACAATATTTTATTAATCTAAAACAGCCATATGACACAAATGCAGGATCCACAGTGTGAAAGTGATGATCTGACCTCAGTATCTCCAGTGTACAGTGTGGATTCTCCAGTCCAGCAGAGAGCAGCTTCACTCCTGAATCCTGCAGGTTATAATTGTAACTCAGGTCCAGTTCTCTCAGACTGGAGGAGTTTGAGCTGAGAACTGAGGACAGAGCTCTACAGCTTTCCCCTGTGAGATTACACCCACACAGTCTGAGAAGGTAATGATGATATGCAATATATTAGATCACTGACATCTCTAATATAAAAAATACACAAATATAATTAATACTTTCACTTAGACTTAATAATATTTCTCTTAGATTTCTCACCTTTGTTTGAGCACCAACGTGTAGTGTATATGTGTAGTTTGTGTGTGTGTGTGTGTGTTTGTGTATGTTGGTTGGGGCAGGAAGAAATCACTTGTATCAAATTAACTAGCTCAAGTAACGTGTGGCAAATGATGACTAATGAGTGATGAAGTGCAGTGGGTAACATTGTGGCCTCTTAGCTGTAGGGTCCTGGGTTCGATTCTGAGCTTGGGGACTGTCTGTGTAGCTTTTCATTTTTTACAATGATTTTATTCCAGGGCTTTAAATATACAGTCCCCTCCAAAATATTGGAACAGCAAGGCCAATTCTTTTGTTTTTGCTATACAAGACATTTGGGTTTGAGATCAAAAGATGAATATGAGACGCTAGATCAGAATTTCAGCTTTCATTTAATGATATTTACATATTTACTAGACTTGTTAAACAACTTAGAACATGGCACCTTTTCTTTGAACCCACCCAGTGAGTACTGAGATACTTGTGTCAGACAAGACAACACTTGACACATGAGGATTCCACAGCAACATCAGTGGTGGTTGTTGGTTATTAAAATAGGAGAAACAACAGTATATGCACTCACTGTACATTTTTAATTCAATTCAATTCAATTCAATTTTATTTGTATAGCGCTTTTAACAATGGACATTGTCACAAAGCAACTTTACAGAAATAAATGGATTCACAAAAAAAGATATATTGTAAATATGTGAATTTATCCCTGTGAATTTATCCCTATAAATTTTTTTCCCTATTTATTTTGTTAGAAAGCCTTGTGCACCTGCACATTCATGCAGTTATCTAATCAGCCAATTATATGGCAGCAGCACAATACAAAAAGTCATGCAGATGCAGGTCAAGAGCTTCAGTTAATGTTCACATCAAACATCAGAATGAAGAAAAAGTGTGATCTCTGTGACTTTAACCGTGGCATGGTTGTTGGTGTCAGATGGGCTGGTTTGAGTTTTTCAGAAACTGCTGTGTGATTTTCACACACAACAGTCTCTAGAGTTTACACAGAATGGTGCAAAAAACAAAAACATTGAGTGAATGACAGTTCTGTGGGTGGAAACACCTTGTTGATAAGAGAGGGTCAGAGGAAAATGGTATGAGCTGCCAGGAAGGATATAGTAACTCAAATAATCACTCTTTACAACCACGGTGAGCAAAAAAGCATCGCAGCATGCACGAAACATGAAACCTTGAGGTGGATGAGCTACAAGAGCATAAAATGACATCAGATTTCACTTCTGTCAGCCAAGAACAAGAATCTGAGGCTATCATGGGCACAGATTCATCCAAACTGGACAGATAACTCTCTATCTGCTCCTCTTCTCATTGCATGCCTTGACAAATATGCAGGTGATCTCGGCAAGTGTAAAGGCTTCATGCTCCAGTGTTCATTATAGTTCTCCAGCCAAGAAAGGGTATCTGAGCGGACCAAAATCAGACCAAAATTTATCAACCTGCTAACGGATAAAGTGCTAACCTGGGCCATGGCAGTTTGGTCGCAAGTGGGAGAGCATACCTCATCCTATAAATGCTTTCTTCAGCTGTTCTAATAGGTGTTTGAACAGCCGTTCGCAGAGTTCGCACTCAACTTCTGTTGTGGCTGGAATGATCCAGCCCTCAAAGCTGCTTACTCTCAAGGGCTGAATGCAGACATCCTCACTGAGCTGGTATGTTGGGACCATCAGGTGTCCCCTGACACTCTCATTGACCTGTCCATTCATCTGGATCTCCTGCTGAAGAACTGAGGGGAGACTAAAGTGGATTGAGCCTAGCCCAGGAATTCCATGCCACAGAGCCCATGCAACTAGGTCAAGTCAAATTAACAGCTATAGAACACCAGAGGCATCAGAAGGAGTGACTGTGCTACTATTGCAGCAGCCCCAAGCACCAAGTGGCACTCTGCTCTTCCAAACCACATGGCAGTGTTCCACAACAGACCTGGGAGCTCCCTCCCTCCACGTTTTGCTCGCCCATGGTGAGTTCCTTTCTTCACTAAACTTTGTCATACAAGTTCAGGTAAAGCACTCAGAGGGTCTGTTTCAGCCCAGATTTATTTGAGAGCTGCTGGAAATTTCACTGCAACACACCGTGAGCATCCAGTCCCTGGACGGAGGCTCGATGGGGGCAGGGAGGGTCGTCCATTACTCAATGCACCAAGCTAATCATGCTCTATGTCAGTGCCCTACACCAAGAGCAAATGTCTCTCCTCATCACTGTCATGATTAAGTTCCCTATAGTGTTGGGATTGCACACAATCCTCAGATCTCCTGGATGGAAAAAGAAATCACATGCTGGTCATCACACTGTCTGCCTCATTGTATCAAGGTCCCGTATGCACTGAATGATTCCTGCACACAGTACACATCACAGAACAACATGCCAGTGGGAAAGACCACCTCAACTCTCACCGACCAACTTTACAGAGTGCTCACCTCTTTCATTGTCAGTACAAGATCTTGACCAAAAATTGATGCACCTCTTGATGGAAATAACATCACAACATTTATTTCCATCAAGCGGTGCATCAGTTTTTGGTCAAGATCTTGTATTGACAATGCAAGAGATGAGCACTCTGTAAAGTCTCCTCCAGCACATCCCAAAGACTTTCACTGAGGTTAAGGTCAGGACTCAGAGGTGCCAATTCATGTGTGAAAATGATTCTTCATGCTTTCTGAACCGTTCTTTCACAATTTTAACCCTGATGAGTCTTGGCAGTGTCATCCTGGAATATGGCCATGATACGTCTTTCTACATAGTTATTAAAGAACTAAAAAGCTACACACTTCACCTTTTAAGATTAAAAGAATTGTTGCCAAACATATAATATGCTAGAAACATTATAATCACTCTAATAATGATCCATTCATAGACTCTTATGTATTTGCCTATTAAAATCTAACAGCGACTTTTTTTTTGGCCGGGCAGTGTATATATATATTTAGAGTTATGCATAGGCAAAAGCTAAGACATGGGCATGGAGGGGGGGCTTTTGACTAAGGTGGTGGGGTCAGTTTCACCTACAGTCACCAAACTTGGTACATATATTGTTCTCATCAATCCAGACAACTTTCAAAATGACAGTCATTAGCTCCGCCCAACAGGAAGTAAGTCATTTTGGATTTAATTTGGATTTTTTGAAAATTGCAGGTTCTGAATTTTTAAATACTCCTCCAAGGGGATTCATGCAATTCACACCAAATGTGGTCAACATTATGCCAGAACACTGAAGATGCTAAATTGTGAACGGATTTTTGATATCTCAAATGGTGTGGCCATGGTGAGGGATTAAATTAATGACAGAAAAGGGAAAAAGGAAGAGTCTCATAAGTGCATTGTCTGATTTAGATCAAACTGGTGTTGTATGTTTGGTCATGGGGGTATGTTGCACCCCTTAAATGCATGTGCCCACTACACATTACTTCACTACAATTAATTAATGGCTAATAAGGATAATAACATAAATCATGCATTATATCACCAAACATGAGCTGTATGTTCGGACATGGAAGCTGTTGTAAAGCCTTAGACCTGGGCTTAACCTACACTATATAGCCAAAAGTTTGCGGACACCTGACCATCACACCCATATGTGGTTCTTCCCCAAACTGGTGCCACAAATTTGGAAGCACACAATTGTATAGAATGTGTTTGTATGCTGTAACATTACAGTTTCCTTTCACTGGAACTAAG